TAAAAAGCGATGTTTTCTTCATTATGTTAACTTCTTTTCCAACCAGCTTTTTCTAATGACAATTTCCCTTTTCCTAATTTACATCGCGAGAGAACTTTAAATAATTTACGACCCGGCGAACTCCATTACCATCATTGCTCGCTCTCTTACGGTGTTGCGAGCCAGCAGGATAAACACGTTTGTAAAACTGCAGCGTATCTCCAGCAGCTTTCGCAGTGTGTGAGCTAAAAAAACGAATGCAGAGCAAAACTAGTCTAGGACACATTTAAAGAGCGTATGGCTTGGGTGCAGAGAATAATTACGAATGTAATGTTCGTCTTTGGTAAATCACGTGCTTTTGAAGAGAAACAAAATATTTCGAGTAGAAAATATTACGAACATCTAATTATATGCAGTTATATTGCGAAACGGCGCAACGTTAGAAACTAAAGCCATTTCTTGCACATAATGTGTAAAATTCTGCAAATATCGCCGAACATTTCTATAGTTTCATCAAATGTCATCAAATTGTCTACTAAAAAGTTTTAAAAAGTTAAAAACGGTCATATTATCGCAAAAATATTATTACAATCGCTACGACAAATCGTGGAAATATTCATTGATGTTTCAGAAAATTTAAAAAAAAAAACACGTGTTAATATAAAATTTATTAATGTAATTCACATAAATAGAAAATATTCGATATTTGTAAAAATGGATTGTTGAAACGTTCGCAAAAGGATACGGTTAACATAATACTACAAATGCTTTGAATATTCTTTGATTAATCAATTCATAAAATTCTTTCTTCTTAAGTTTAATCAAATGCGTTAAAGCATTTTTTAGTGAGACTTTAATCGTATCCAAAATGCATCAAAGGTCCAGGATATTTTTTACAATCTTGAATGCTCGAAAGTGCTATTTTCTCAAAAGTATCGTATAAAGACGAGCCAAGCGAACAAGAATCGGACGTTTGCGTTCCGCGATAGTCTTTATAGCAAAAAGACTACGCACTATTGATAATATGGCTAACTCTAGCAGCACGAAGTATTAACGTTAATAGCGAAATTATTATAATGGGGACGTAACGGCGAACTACTAATAAAGATATAGGTCGCCATCAATGTTTCCCGAAACAACTTCCTTCAACGAAATGCGCTCAGAACAGTGACAGATATAAATGAAAGAAGAGATACTCTTGTATTCCTATAATTGGCTACTTTTTGAAGAGTAAAATAAAAGAGTAAAAATATTTTTACTCTTTTATCACCATATTTATGATAATCGAATAGTACAATAAAAATGTTACGCTCCCTATATATGTTTCAAAATACCGACTTTTCCCCACGTTAAAGAACAAATTTCATTTGTTATGTTTAATTATTATGCAAAATGGAAAATGAGTTTACAATTGCAGATTGTAATGTAAAATATAAGAAAAAAGAAATAAAGGTGCATGTAATTTTTAGACATGATCTTTCAAACAAATATTGTAACAGATATTAATTATTTAAAATTATGGGACATATGAAAAACATACAATTTAGATACAGTAATAAAAATATTTGAGTACTTATAAAATTAAGGTAATGCTCTTCAGAAATCCTTGGTAATATCTTTATAAAAATTCTCATTGCAAATTTTATTAATTTTTTAATACTTTAAGATTGCTTCAGAGAACTTGTTCACACATGCATGAACTTTTATGAACCTTCAAAGCAAGTGCCGATTATTCGAATAAGAGATAATTATTCTCATTCATTTAGATTTGTCATCAAATCGAGTGCCAATTACCGGGCATCATGGACAAATTGATAGTGTGTAAGGCACAAAATGATTTTTATTACTTAATTTCATTTCCCAAATGAGGCAAATTATGATTGAATATGTCACACTTATATTTACATGTTTGTAAAATATATGATTTATCTAAAATTAAAAGAGCATGCCGCTGATCTTTCGAATCATTTTTTGAATATGCATGATTTCGTTTAGAATATTTTAAAGATGGAGCATAACGCGAGGAATCGTTAGGAAATGATTGAGGCTAGTATCAGCAACGAGATTTCATGTGAGAAAAGCTTTACACTGGAAGACGCTAGCATTAGATGATTATTATGAAGCGTCGACAAGCGAAAATACTTTATTCTAGTCGTATCTTTCATGCTTTGCCAAGTACGCAAATGTAATTCTTGTGTTTAAATGTAAAGGTCAATTATGTTTTAATAAAATCTGCCAAGATTCTCTTATCAGTGTTCCATGTGTTTCCCTTACCCTTTTTCCTATAATGTCTATAAATCTTCTTTTTTTAATGCAAAAATAGCAATAAAACTATATTTACAATTAAAATCTAAAATAGTTAAACAAGAAAAAAAAACAAAAATTATAATTATAATTATTTAAAAAATTATAATTATTTTAATTTAATTTTTTTAATTTATATTATCAAAAGATCTAATAGTAATTAATATGTTTAATTGTACTTTTCTTTTAGTACTTTCTCACATTTAAACAATATACTGGTTTTAAAATATATATTCATCACACAAAAATACCTGATAAACATTAATGCATGTAACATTTTAATAAACACATTTGACATGTTTTCAAATATGAATATTGTGTATGAGAAAGTATTGCTATCATTTAATCAGTAATCTATATGGAATAATACAGCAATTTTTGGTAATGGTAGTTAACACATACATAGAAATAAAATTTCATACATTGAAATAAAATTTATATTTACAAATATTACATATAGAACAGCAAATAGGCTCAGGTATTTTTGTAACTAACTACAGTATTCATTTTATGTAAAGAGGTTGAGAATGATCTAAGTTGTACTTCTTGACTGTTTGCAATAAAAACTGGCTGAGTCTCGTCCCACTGGTTGGGAATGTTACAGTCAGATACTGTGTACGTAAGTATATCGAAAGAACATAGGCAATCCAAGAGTGGTAAGAAGCTTACAGTACCTGTAAGAATACTTTATTATGACTTCAATGTCTTAAATTCTATATAGCATAGAACATTCAGCGCTGCAACAATATCGCTAGAGTGTTTCATGCTACTTGAGATATATCATAGCGTTTTATTTCAAATAGTACCGTGTTTCATATTACCTGTGATCTGACGTATTACTTCGCGTATTTCTTTCTGTATAGTTTTTACATCTTTTGTCCCTACTTCAGGCAAATCACCCTTAATGATGCTATCTGTTCCATTAGCCTTCTGATCTTCATAATCGACCTTGAAATCCCACTTCTCCAGCACTTCCTTTGTATTGACATTTGTTATGACGAGCGTGATTTTATGCACCTTGCGCTGGACAAGCCACTCTTCAATCTGTCTCAGCACAGTATTTAAGAAAGATGTAATCTTCTCGTCCGTGGACGTGAAGATGAATAGACCGAAATGTTCGGAGGGTGTGAAAGTCTCCGGCGGATATATTCCTCTTTGATAGAGTATACTATTGACTCCATAGACTGCAACAAAGGATAACAATCAAAGAAAGGTTAGAAATATCTCAAAACTAAAATTGACTCACTAAAATCATACTTACGCAGATACTGCGAGACCAACTCGGCAGAGCCTTTTAAAGTAATGCACTTAGTCTTTTGTTGCGTTTCAGTCATGCTGCAAAATAGTCAAATCGCAATAAAATCGGAAAATCACGGCACTCAGCACATACCGGTTTACAAATTTGAAAAGAAACGACGATCAATCAGATTCGACCAATCCAATTTGACCAATCATATGTAAGAGAGTATGCTAAAACCGCTAAAATTTTATCGCGCAATTTAAAAACATGTTTAAAGATACATTTTCATGAGCTACTTAAGGGTCAACGCAATGCTACAAATGCTTTAAAGGAATTTTTGATTGGTCAATTTATAAAATTTTTTGTCCTAATTTTTTGTCCTAATCAACCAAACGCTTCAAAACATTTGTAATGAGACTTTGGCCAAATGGACCAATTAGAAGAAAGAATTTTACAAATTAACTTAATTAAGAGAAATTTACAACACTCTGGCTCGTATTCAAATAAAATTATATATATCTATAAAAGCGCGCTTTTATCTCTAAAATTCTATACTATGCGTAACATAAATTATTAGCGCGCTAAGGTCGGTTGCACCAACCTTACTTTGATTTTAAATGAGGCTTAAAACTCTTTCTGTCTCTTTTTGGCTTTAAAACGAGATAGATAGAGTTTTACGTCTCGCTTAAAGTCAAAGTGACATTGGTGCAACTGGGCCTTATATTGCTGTAAGCGCGTTCTGAATATGGGCCTCTCTGTCTCATTTTAAAGCGAAAAAGAGACAGAGACAGAGAGAGTTTTAAGCCTTACTTAAAATCAAAGTAACGTTGGTGCAGGTCTAAGTCGGCCTCACCATGCAAAACTTCTAGAAATGATATAATATTACTTCCGCCGCGCGACAAAAGTTGGATTGATTTCAAATTGATGGAAATTAATTATCTATGGTGGAAATTATATATCTATGGTGGAATACATATCTATTAAGCCGGGTTCACACTTTGACGGAAAGCAGAAGCCAATCGGAACTCGCAATAGTAGTGAGTGAGACATTTCGCTTGTCTGCTTCTATCTTTCCGCGAGTTCTGCTTGATTTCCGTTTTTCCGCTTTGCGCTTTTCCATCAAGGTATGAACCCGGCTTTACTTCTGAGTAAACGAGACGTTGATTGGCTGCGCCAACTTCTGTCGCGCGGCAAGCGTTGCCGCGTTCTGTGTACACGAACCAATAGAAAACATCTATTCATTTTAGACGCGTGGATTGGCTGCGATTTCTTTTGATGCGTATATCATTTAGACTATGGTCAAAGTCTCTTTGAAGCATTTGATGAACCAATTAGAAGAAAGAATTTTACCAACTGACCAATTAAAAAACGTTTCAAAGCGTTTTCAGCATTGCGTTGATCGTATCCTTAGAAATCCATCTATAAATTCTATGCGAATCCTGGCTGGATAACAGCAGCGCCGCAGACGACCCAGACACAGAAGTGAAGTAAGTAGCCACTGCAAGTAGCAAAGCCGACGAGACAGGAAGCTGAGGAAGCGACGTTCGTCGCGAATTTATTGGTCTCCTTTATTTGCGATTGGCATACGTATCTGGCACCATGAGTAACGCTGAGGAATCGTTAGTAGCTGGTCTCGTGTATAACTATTTGTTAAAGAAAGATGCATCGTTGGCGGCGGTTTTCCAGAAGAAGACGAAAGCGGTAAGTCGCAAGGATGGCCGACGCCACGCGCCATGCGGCACTAAAGTACCGTCTGGCGCCATACTCGTTAACACCACGTGGATTCAACGCAGTTTGAGCGCTCCCAATATGATTTTTCTCGATTATTTTATATCATCTGCACGTTGTGCATAATTTTTATTGTAACAACTTAAAATTATCAAATATTGCATGTAATTGGCAATAATTGTTTTATCAATGCTTATATATTTCAGCCTCTCCTGCGAAAAGAATTTCCAACATTAGTGGAAGTAATTAAGTATTTCCAAAAGAACTCTCCCAAAAAGATCCCATTAATAACACAAGTAACTAAGGAAAGCAGTTCGGATTCGAGCTCGGAAAGTGAAGAAGAAACAGAAAAAAATGCACAAGTTAATGGCAAAGTGGAGACAGTAGCTCTTAAAAAGATAGCGGAATCTTCTTCGGAAGATTCTAGTGAAGGTGAAGATATTCCAGTACTAACTCCAGAAATAAAGAAAATAAATTCTCTCCCCTTTCTTCTGCGGGAAGAAAAGGAGAATTATGAAAATGATCTAAGTTTTCGAGCGAAAGCAGCTGGAACAATGATGAAAGCTTTTACTCGATTAGAGGGTAAAATATCTGATTCATCTGATTCAACTTCCAATGATTCATCTTCAGCGAGTCCTGACGTTCAAATGGTAAATTCAAAAACTACCAAACAGTTAGCAATGAAGACATCCACACCCATAACGAATGCACCTTCAAAAACACAATTACAAAAACAGAATAAATCAGCAACACTGGTTACAAATAAGAGCAAAAGTCGTGATGTAGCTGCATTGAATGAGAATGTACAGAAAAAACCAGTTCTCAGTAAATCTACAGTGTCAGCAAAACAAACTGCCATGGAAGAATCTTCTAGTGACGACGATAGCAGTGACGAACAGCAGTCCGTTGAGAAATCAACTTCGTCAGCAACTGCTGTGCAAAAAGATTCTTCTTCGAGCGAAGAAGAGAGCAGCGAAGAGGAACATAAGGCAATCGTAACAAAAACTGCTGCAACTTTGAAGACACAAAATCAGAATAAGCCAGCGCCAGCAAAAGCAATTAAAAAATCAGAGTCGTCATCGAGTGAAGAAAGCAGCGATGAAGAAGAAACGCCCCAAAAAGCTCCCAATAAACCAGCTGCACCAGTAAAATTAACTACCAAGAAAGAGTCTTCAAGCGAAGATAGCGATGATAGCGACGATAGCGAAGAAGAGCCTGTTAAGAAACCAACTTCAGTAGCCACTACCAAGAAAATAACTCCGGCAATTGCTGCTAAGAAAGCAACTCCGGCAGTCGCCGCTAAGAAAACAAAATCTTCCTCGAGCGAAGAAAGTAGCGAAGATGAAAAACCTCCTATTAAAAAACCAGCTCTCACTAATCAAAGTACTGCTAATAAAATTAGTTCTGTAAAGAAAGATTCATCAAGCGAGGATTCAGAAGATGAATCCGATGAAGAAGAAAAATCAGCAACAATGATAGTAACGAAAGCAGCACTTGATAAAACGCCAATTATTACTAATCGAAATACTAATAAAATTAGTTCTATAAAGAAAAAAGTTTCATCGAGCGAGGATTCAGACGATGAATCTGATGAAGAAGAGAAACCAATGACAGTGGCACCTAGTAAAACGCCAGTTCTCGCTAATCAAAATACTGCTAGTAAAATTAGTTCTGTAAAGAAAAAAGATTCGTCAAGCGAGGAATCAGAGGACGAATCTGATGAAAAAGAGAAACCAACGACAACAGTAGTATCGAAAGTGGCGATTAGTAAAACACAGAAGAAGAAGGAATCTTCTAGCGAAGATTCAGAAGATGATTCGGAAGATGAAGCACCAACAACAGCACCAGCCAAGACAATCGCCAAAAAAGAATCCTCGAGTGAATCTGATTCAGACTCCAATAACTCCAATAAAGAGAAGATGAAAGTTCACACACCAGCTGAGGTCAACAAGGGACAAAAAAGGAAACACGCTGATAATGATGAAGAAAAAACACCAGCAAAAGCTGCAAGAAATAGCTATGGCAACTTTGTGAAAGCTAATAGTAGCTTCAATGGAAACAAGGTATGTACTCACCCATCTATCTACCCATCCACACACACACACACACACACACACACACACACACATATTATGTGTATGTAAAGGTTTTTATATAAAATACGATCTAAAATACAGTCTAACATTTTTAATCATATTTTGAATGCAACCATTACTGCTATGTTTAAGTAACAATTAAAATAGATATATTAGTTTGTGGACATGACTTGGTTATTGAATGAAATAACAAAAATTAAAAATATTAAGCTTTCAATAATATGTACGTTTCTAAATAAATTCGTTATTGAATTTTTATAAGTAACGAATTTATTTAAGAATTGTACATATTAAAAGCTGGATATTTAAAATTTTTTTTATCGTTTTGTCCAATAATTGGAATATGTATATTGGAATATATCTCCTAATATCCGATTTTTCATTTTCTAGTTAACTTGTCATTAGGCTTAACCTGATGTTTTATCTAATGAGTTTCATCTGTGATTATGTCATAGGTGAAACCTACTGAAACAGCTTAAACTTAATATCAAGTTAATAATAGAACATTGGGCCTAATTAGTTTACCTTAACTTTACATTTCTTTACGTTACTGAGAAATGATATAAATATTTTTTTTTATCATCTATGATTTTTATTTAGTGGCAGAAAAATCGTACATATCAGCGTGTGAAAAGTGAAGACATCATATTGGATCCTAAGTTGGCTAATAATTCGTTTGAAGCAAAGGTAAATGCTTGGAAACCGTCCAAGAGGCATAGGTCGCTCGCCCTTTTTATAAAAGCTCGAGACCCTGCTTGAGACCATGTTTCCGTGCATTCACCAAATTTATCCAAATTTTAAAATCTAAAACAAATAAAAACAAGAAAAAAAGAAAGATGTGAATTGCTTTGTAATAACATGCTTCCAGTATGGGCGACTGACCTATTCCTCTTTTGTTTTAGGATGAAGATGATAACAGTTTTAAAAAACAAAACTTCGAACGAGGTGGATTTAGGGGTGGATTTAGAGGCGGATTTAGGGGTGGTTTCCGAGGAGGACGTGACGAAGGTGGTCATGGCGGTTTTAGAGGTGGACGTGGCGGCGATCGGGGTGGGCGTTGGAGCAACAGTGGTGATAACGCTGGATATAGGAACAACGATAATGATAGGGGTGGTCGTGGAGGTCGTGGTGGTTTTAGAGGTGGTCGTGGTGGTGGTAGAGGTGGCGGTAGAGGTGGTTTCGATGGCAGAAAATCTTGGGGAGGAAACAGAGATAATGACGGATCCAGAAAATCGTGGGGAAACAATGAGAATAATGATAGAGGAGGTTTTAGGGGTGGTTTCGATAAAAGAAAATCTTTCGATATCGCAGGCCCACCTCAAAATAAAAGAATCACTTTTGATGATTAATAATAAAGATGTATATAAAGGTGAGGGAAAAATCGGGATTTTACTACAAAGATATAATCTTTTAACCTTTAAGAAAAATGTAAAGACATATTTAACATTTATTTTTTTCTCTACAGAAAGGTGCAAGAGGATCATGGGGGGAACGCGCTAATGAAGTATTGAAGTTTACAAAAGGCAAGAAGTTTCGACATGAGAAGCAAAAAAAGAAGCGTGGTTCTTACCGCGGTGGACACATAGATACACATGTTAATTCCATTAAATTCGAGGATTAAACAATTACACTTCGTAATTTTTTTTATTATTTTCACCATATTTAAATCAGTAAAATAATTAATAAAGTTTAATACTGACTTATACTGTAAACATGTATGCTAAAATATATAAAACAATTGTTGTCTAAGATTTTAAAGAAAAGACGAGAGATTATAACGAATTCGGTTGATATATTCACTTATTTAGTCACATAAATTGAAGCTGCTATTAAATATACCAAAATCGTATAGAATTATATAATGAAACTTGGAAGCTAAAATAAAGTATGTAGCACAATTAGTGTATTTGACAAAATATGTGTAATATTTCACTGACAAGAGAATGTGCTACATTGCAAAAGTGATTTTAAAAAAATTAACATCAGTCGAAAGATCACATTTGAAATAGATACTCTAGATGATCAAATTTTGCAATCCTATGAATTCTATATCCGACAAAGGTCGAAACATGTTCGGCTATTTTAACTTAAATACAAAATATCTCGAGAACAATGCATTTTTGAAAAAAATGTTTCAAATAAGAATTGTAAAGTTTGAAAAGTACCATCAGATGAGCTATCAATTTGTGTGGAATCTTATTGGATTCAACTACATTATTTTTGAGATATTTTGTCTCTAAACATGGTCTGGCTCAAGTCAGGTATAGTAGAATCCATGGGATCCCAGTATTTGATCATCTAGAATACTCATTTCAAATGTGATTTTTAAAAATACTTTCGGTTAATAAAATTAGTTTTGTTTATATCAATTTTGCAATATAGCACGTTTTCTTATAAACTAGATATTTTATGTTACATTATAATTCTACATAAATAACTATATACTTTTAATCTGTACTATTATATACTTTTAATCTGTACTATTATTATACTATTTTTTCAACCGAATTTGCTATTACTCGACAGAATGTTATTAAACACGTTGTATCAAATCATACACTTAAAAAACCCACATTTTATTTCCGCAATTATTAATTTGCAACGTTCTATGTATATGTTCTATGTATGTTACGAAAATGTTAATCTTATCAAAGCAGTTTGCAAGTGCTCGCAATACGAAAATGTTTTTGAATACATTATAAATTACATCATAACGAATACTGAAATACATTATTTTTAGAACAATTAAGATCTAGTATAAAGTCTAGAATAAGTTTCACAGAATTTATTTTCTACAGATTAAAATATTAATGTCGCTTGGTTTAATCTATCAATTATTTATCATTTTATAAAAAATATAAAATAATTATAGAATAATAATAGCATAAATATCTATATCCATTTTATTTGTTCTCTATTCATTAAGATTTTTATTCAAGATTTATGTTACGCGAACGTAATTTTTATTTTAAGATCTGAGATTTTTGTAATTTCGGCAAATTTTGATGTTATTCATGACTTCATTTGATTCTCTAAAATTTTTCCGAAAATCAAGCAATAAAGCTTCCATGATTGGTGCAAAAAATTGCAAGAAAGAAAATTTTTTTGATATTTGTGACTACAATTATATATTACTAATAATTATGATTATTACTGCTATAATATTAGTAATAACAACTATATGTATAGTTCTAACAACAAATATATATAGTTAGCAATCTATAAAACGACTATAATTATAATTATTATAATAAAAATTATTCAAATTATAATCATTTGAATCATTTTTAATTTTCAACTATTTTTATGGTAATAACAACTATAATTATAATCATTTTATAGATTGCTAACTATATATATTTGTTGTTAGATCTATATGTATGATTACTATTATTAATATTATAATAATAATTATAATTATAGCTACAAATATCAAATATTTTTCTCTCAATGTAATTAATAAAAAAAGATCGTGTATTTCTTTGTGCAATAAGAACAATTTCATATGATAATTCTGTTTGAAAATATATTGCTTTTGAAAATATCCATTTATATTTATATAGAGTTCTTTCCAGCAAGGACATAGACACTGGGTAACATAGTGAATTGTTTCATCCTTGCTTAACATAAGCAAATAATAAGGGTGTAATGTATTATACTGTATCCTTGCTGAAAAGCACCCATAATTTCAGTAAATTCAAAAATTCCATAATAAATTTTTATCATTTGTTGAATGTTTAGTATTTTTTCATCTGTCATGAAATCCGCATTTTTCTAAATTTTAATCGATATTGTATAGGATTTTTACAAATTTCTCATCCTAAAATTCCATAATTTTTTTCTGATTTCCTGACAAAATTTTCCCTGATGCTTTCAATAATAATTTTTTAATTTTTTTTTATTTGGAAATCATGAAATATTTTGTTTGATAAAGCAATTTAACATGATCGCATTCAACAGAATGTTTCTTTTACTGTTGGAAGTTTTCTTCGCGCTGATTGAATTATACTTTTAAATCTGCAGGGATAATCCTATCTTAACGAAGACTTACAAAATAAATGTTTTACTGAACACAGCAAATGGTAATATAAATTAATTAACACTGTGCTGTTGAAACTGCATCCATTTAATTATTAAGTTGATAGTTATTCCAAAATTGCGTTTAATATATATATATA